AAGTGTTTGGGATGCCAATATGCCTATGTCTGTCGGACGGAGGAAAATACAACGGGGGGTCGCAGTCCAAGAAGTTTCGCGATAGAGTATACAGAAGGCGTTAAGTATGCAAACTGCCTTTTTTTTTCTTTTCTTAAATATCTTAATTTTAGTGCCAGGGAGACGCAGAGTCGCAGCAGCCAACTTTGGCCACTCTCGCTCATGCACGAGCTCGCGCGGTCATGTAATCGAACAGACGCAAGGTGCCTCTTCTCTCTTTAGCGTTCCGTCTGCTTCCTCTCCCCGGCATGCCCCGGCCCGTCTTACCCGCGGTCAACTAGTTGCTACATCATACAAGACAGCCCGCAGACAGGTGTGTTTCTCGCTTGCAAGGCGGATGCCGTCACATTGATCACGCTACCTGCACACACATAACTCTGTCATCGTGTCCGCAGCAAACACGGCGTCTTTCGTACGATGTATATGAGCAGGGTACGCTAATCCCCTTAGGGACGCGGCTTACCACCGGCAATGCAGCCAGTCGTAAGCGATCACAAAAAGGCTTAAAAATCGGTCTTGTTTTAGTCGGTCGCATATATAGTCAAGCGCAAGTGTGTGAACGGGCCTTATTACGATCGTCTACGAACCGTTCGATACACGTATCTGCTCCCGTTTGAATCGTTTAATGGACGCAGCGATGTCACCCGATCAGAGTCGTTACGAAGAGGATGCGCGCATCTACACGATGTAAAAGCGGACCACTGGACAGAAATTACACGTGACCAAGCCATGTCGAATACGGTCAACCGGCAAACCGCATCCTCTCGATCTCCCACGTTGGGCGCCAGCTTGTTGACAAGTGCGAATGCGTGAATGCGCGACAAGAAATAGATTTACGATCGGTGCAGGATTTTTTCCATTTTCACAATGGTCGCGGCCCAACTGACGTACCAAATACAGTAGTACGATATACAACAACAAGCGGGGGCTGTGACATCACGCGGCTGCAGTGGCGCTGTCGGCGCGGACGCTTCACTACGCGCTATTCTGGTTTCTGCGCGCGCGCAGTGTCAAAGGCGGACTTGTTCGTAACCGGCGCGTTGATCTATACGGTACCCGACACATTGAAATGCGGTTCAGACCTGCAGGGGTATTCGCAGGGTGAAAAACGTCTTGGTGAAGAAGACAAGAACCAAAAACAAAGCTTTCGACACCAGAAAACTGTTGCGTCTGTTTTTGTTGACGCGAAGAGAGCTCCTCCGGCTTAATTTAGGCAATGTTTCGAAATCACACTGCGTTAGCTCGTCGTCTACCAAAAAAAAGAAAGAAAAGAAACAGCATGCACCGCGCACTCGAGCAACCTCCGGTCAATCTGACAGCGGTTAAATATGATGATGGGGTTATCCTCGCCGTTATCTAAAGCCCGCGTATACGGACCGTTCTCGCGACGATTAATCTTCGAGCACTCTAAAAGCATAAAATGTACAGATATATATATATCGTAAGATAGCGGAGGCCTCCTATAGAGAGAGCTATCCATCTATTTTATGCACTGAGACTGTGTATATGTTGTCGGAATAACGCGATAAAATAACAAGAACAAAGAAAAATTCGGAGCCACGGAAAGAGCCGAATAAGCAGACGCCGCGAAGAAACATTTTAGCAGACGGCACCACGGAAAACGGGTAAAACCGAATGCAGACGACTAAGGAACGACAAAAGAGACAATTTAGCAGACGGCAGAAGAGAGACCAAACGACGCAAAAAGAATGATAAGAAAAAAAAAAAAAAAATTAGATCACGCCACAAAAGCAAATGCGCCGAAACCGAAAGCAGACGACGAAGAAACGCAAGAAGGTCGTAAGGTTCCGAGCAAACATTCTTTGTCATGGCTATTCTTTTACTTTTTTTTTTTTTTTTGGAAAAGAAAAGGGGAAAGGGGGGGGGGGGGGGGGGCTTTGTTTACTTTCTTTGCATAGTCTTACCTATGCTCTTACGTTTCTCTTGCCCGTAAAAGCGGCAAAGCCCAACCCAACAACCGAACAACCCCAGAGAAAACAAACGAATACAGATAAAGAAAAAAAATGCAAATGGGGCGCGGAAAAACGGGAGCGCTGCCACCGTAAATGTCATCAGCCGCCCCCAAAATAAACAAAAAAAAAAAAAAAAAAGAGTTAAAGCGGGGGAATTCGGGAGTTTGCTTGCGTGCGCAGCGTCGAGACTGGGCCAAAACTGCCGAAACCTTTTACCGTCACCGTGACGGGACACCTAATTGAGACACGATACGCATCTTCGGGGGAAAAAAAATCAAATTAACAAAGAAAAAGAAAAACAGAGGTTAGTGGTGCCGCTACTTAGGAAACAAATAAATAAATAAGCAAAGCTCGACAGCCAGTAGATCAATAACTCGGAGAGAGAAGGGAGTCGCGATCACACTGCGAACACATAATACAAGAAAAAACAGTCTGCGTACAGTAGAAAGTTCTAGGAAACCGTTTTTGCATATCCGATAAGGTACAGAGCGCGACACTGTTAGCGCGAACAAGCGATCGCCGGTTTTTCCAGTTTTTCTCCTTAAAACTAAGGGATGTCATCCAAGTCATTATTGCTACTGAAAGAGCTCAATTGGCTCTATAATGTAAGCGATAAAATTTCGTGCTGGCTAATACTATTTAGAAGAAAAAGGCGAAAATGCGCGGACGTCGTGTTCGCGCTAACAGTGTCGCGATGTGTACGACTTGCCCTCCGGTACAAAGTGCGCCTGCGCGAGTCTTCTGCTGCAGCGCATGCGCAGTTCGTATCGTATCGGATGTACGAAAAAGGTCCCCTAAAACCCTCTACTGTCTGAGACGCGTTTCTTCCACGAAGGACCCGTCGGCCACAGAGAAACTCTGTACGCAGACATGTTTCGAAACGTACTACATACGCATCTATGAAGATATAGGGTCCGGAGATGTGTTCGCAAGACGATTCGGTCATCGTGTCTGCGACCAACACCGTGTCTCTTTTGTACGATCTACGAGCAATGTGAGTGAGTGAGACTCTAGCAGATCGTTATAGCGTTACGATGACGATGCGACGCAAAGCGACGGCGGAGTATCGCGTATCGTAACCGGAAGAGCAAAATGCATGTACGCGTCGTTTCGTCACCGGGTGTTTCGAGCGAACGATACTTTCGAAAGGTATACCGTTACGTAGTATCGTTTGTCTGTCTTGATTAGGCTGATTGTAATTGACGTTTGGCAAAATATGGCATTTCTACAATTGTTTTTGTTTCTTCTTCGGAACAACGGCTGAGCGGCGGTAGGTTATAAATTATAACAAAATGTCTGTTTTCGTATTCCTCAATAGACGAAAGATTTTCTCCAGATTTTTTGCTTTTGAAATTTCGAGAAGTTTGAGATGTCACACCCAGGAAAGCGCTGGCACGCTTATGCAACAATCGCTATTGAAGTGTAAAAACGACCTAGAAAGCTCCCCCCTCCCCCCCCCCCCCCCCCCCCCAAAAAAAAAAGAAAAAAAAAAGGAAAAATAATAATATGGTGCTTTACCAAATTCCCGATTTTCCCATTGTCGGTTGTAATTAGTCGAACAAAGCTTCCTTCCAATTGAAAACAAAGGGAAAATAAGCGTGCACCTCTTGCAGAGGAAACGAAAAAAAGGATCATACTTTAAATTCGGAATATTAAATAAATTAAGTTTCTGCCTTCCGAAAACTTGGGAACAAAAATTCACCCAATATACACCGGAAAAAAAAAAAAAAAAATAGCACCAGGGAAGGACAGAAAATAGTAAATAGAAAGCAGGGAGCAAACAAGCTGATACATATTACTAGACATAACCCAGAGACCGCAAGAAGCAAAAAACGACACACACACACAGACACATAACAAAGTGAGTGGCTTAATTTAGGTAATCTGGAAAACACCCCGCATCACCTAAATGCGTGTGAGTGTTTATGTGCGTGTCGTTTTCGCTTCCTGCAGTCTCGGTGCTGTGTTATGTCTGGAAAATAGTGCGGCCTTCTCCATCCCAACATCACACGGAATTTCTGCTAGCCCGATAATTTCAGTGTCTTAGACGGGTACGGTCGCATAACCTACATATCCGATGGGTGCCATTCTGATTCGCAATGGCAAAACAAATCACAAGCGGACAAAAAAAAGTTTGTTATTTTTTGATCGCGCACGATCGGTGGGTAAAAGGTGAGAAGGAACCTGTCGTCACGTTTAAAGAATAAGACAACTTAGTTTATGACCTGTCCAATCCGAAGAAGTAGTGAATTCAGTCTGAACTGTACCTGCTTTTCTTGATATTATTTTTTTTATATGCTACAGGGCATTTTTATTTTATTATTTAGACTGGGAGGAAAAAAAAAAAGGGGGGGGGGGGCGTTTCATATAGGCCGCATCTGTTCAGAGAAATACCAACACCGCGACAACGAAGTAACAGGCCAGAAAAGAAAGGACAAACAACAAAAGTAACAAACGTCAGCAGAAGACAGACGAACGTAACCGATTTCCCGCTGCTTCTCTATCCGAGCGAGACGAAGACGCACTTCAAGTACGTACTCGAGTGATTGATAGACGGGTGCGCGTACACCGCTTGAGAAGCTTCCCTTTCCACCCAATTCTCTACCAGCACACACCGTCACCGTTCCGTTACTGCGTTATCCTTTCCCCTCACAGAGTACCCTGGGGTACCGTTCTCCCGTTCGCAACGGTTTCGCTACAAAACAAAACACACACGCACAAAAAAAGAAAAAAAAAAAGTTGGAGTGAGCGCACAATGATGATATAACGTATAAATCGCAACGAACGAGAAGAGGCAGGAAATCGGATCAGTCACGCGGGGAGGGATGGAGGGTGGAAGGGATACTGGGCCAACCAACCTCAAAGTTATTTTCGCCTACGAGGCTACCAGAGCAGGGTCGGAAATTGGAGGAGACGTTTCCAACACAAAAAAGCGTCAAGAAAAAAAAAGGAAGTAAAGATTAAATGAGGGAAGAGCAAATGTGGGTCTCCGGGGAGAATATCGATCAGGAGAATATGGAACAACGCCACGAAATAAGTTCGGTGCTGCAGCGCGAAGCGACAATGAGGAGTGCGGAGGAGGAGAGGAATTCAGTTGAGGATATTCACGCACAGATGGCGCCACACGTCCGGTTTGAAGTTGTAGTTATTGTCACTAGATGGTGCCACTTGCGGCGTCGCGTTCGCCTCCTGGTGGCGACGTGGAAAACTAACCCCGAGGAAAAACAAAAATGGCCGACACTGCGGAAAGGATCGACGTGTTTTCATCGCCACACCGTGCTACGAGCATAAGGTGACATTCGGCGTGCCCAAATCAACCTCGCGCGATTGAATATCCCACGTTTTAAGTGATCAATAACGCGCCGATATGTCAAGTGGTGACGCGGCGCCGCAGAAAGTAGCAGACGACAACGACCGTCGTCTGCGCGTCCTCGAGCTCTACAGCGGCATCGGAGGCATGCACTTCGCCTGCCCGCGGGACAAAACGCGCGTCGTTGCCGCCGTGGACGTCAACACGACCGCCAACGCCACGTACGCCTTCAACTTCCCCGAAACACGACTCCTCCAGCGGAACGTTCAGTCGCTCACCGCTCGCGAACTCGACGCCCTGCGACCCGACGTCCTCACCATGAGTCCGCCGTGCCAGCCGTTCACCCGCCAGGGACTGCAACTCGACTCCCAAGACCCGAGGTCTGCCTCTTTCCTAAGCCTACTCCGCGTCCTCCCCACCTTAAAGCACCCCCCGACTTACATCCTGCTCGAGAACGTCAAGGGCTTTGAAACGTCGTCCACCTGCGACGCATTTCTCGACGTGCTACGAGATGGCGGCTACCACGCACACCGCTACCTCCTCACCCCGACGCAGTTCGGAGTCCCAAACTCGCGACTACGTTTCTACTGCCTCGCTAAACTCAACCCGCTTCGATTTAGCGACTGCCCCACCGCGTGCGACGCCGAATGCAACCAGGAACCTCCACCAAACGTGACAAGGTGCGACAGGCCGAGGGAGCTCTACGACTTCCTAGAACAAACCGACGAAGACAGTTGTTCAGACTATCTCCTACCGGACAGGGTATTGTCTAGGTTTGCGTACATCCTCGACATCGCTGACGCGACGTGCACCAATACGTGCTGCTTCACGAAGGGCTATGGACACTACGTGGAGGGCACCGGATCTGTGCTGCTACAAGCGTCCAGGGACCTCATGCATGAGGTATATCGTCACGTGCAACCCAGGACAGTCGTCCAAGACGACGTTCTGGAGTTGTTGCGGACTCTGAGGCTGCGCTACTTCACGCCTGTCGAAGTGGCCCGGCTAATGTGCTTCCCCGACGACTTTCAGTTTCCTCCTGAACTCAAGGCGAGGCACCGATATCAGCTGCTCGGAAACAGCGTCAATGTTTCTGTTGTGGGGAGCCTCGTACGACATCTGCTGGACGACGTCAGGGACTAAGGAATGCCACACTACGGTACCTGCTGTTATCGAGTTGCTCAAGAGCTCGTTGAGACAATACGTGGCTTGCATCGATGTCACATCAGATGCTCGAAAACGTCAATGTTTGTGTCGTGCAATTTACAGCCAATTAAAAGCGGCTGTAAATACTTGTAGTAACGCCTACCTTCGTTCACTTTAATGCAACGGTCGGTTGAGGAGTTCGAAGTGTAAATAATTGTTGTAATGCCTACCTTTGTGAACTTTAATGCTTGAAGCTTGAAGCTTGAAGTAAAGTAAGAATGGAAGCTTGCAGCACAGGGACACAGGTTTCACGAGTTTTGGTCATGTGAACGCACGGATTCAACTGCATGTATGGCAGACTATAGTCTGTTGCAGCATAAGAACAGTAGTAGATGCCTTGCTTCCAGCACGTACCCGTAACCTTTCAGTCTGTTTGGCTTCGCGACTGCCGCAGTGTGATTGAAGGCAGAAAGCTTGCACTGGAGGCATCTGTTGCTGATGTTATGTTGGAATGGACTATAGCACATGCACCCACAGTCAAGGTGCAATTAATCAGCCTAGATATCGAGCATTGGGAGTGCAGCTGTGCTTCACCACACTAAACTGCTTGTGGAACAGCCTTTCATTGTTGTTCAGTCTCACTCAGAGTTCCAGTACGGTCTTTTAGACAGTATGTGAATAGTGGAGACCGGGCCTCTAAAACAAATTAGGTACAAATCATGCTACTGCTACCAGAGAATACGAAATGGGAGAATCGAGGCTTTATTTTGACCAGGACTGCATAACTTGAAAATATAAGTTTAAAAGTAGCTTAAAAATGAGTAAGAAAAACAAATTATGTTCATTTAACATTTCATAATGAAAAGCAGAAAAACATGTTTCACATGCATTGGTGAGGACTTGAGTTCCAGCCAAGCTCCGAGGTAGCACTTCTGTGACGGTCTTTTGTTACAAGAGTGCCAGAACGGTTAGGTGTTGCTCTGTGCAAAAAGTTGAATAGGATACAAAATAGCAGAATCGGGGGGAATATACGGGTCTGGGAACGATTCTTTTCCCCTTTATTTTAGCTTCCATGAGGGCTCGCTTCTCGTAAGCACCTCGTTAAACGTCCCGTGGTCACACACTCAACGTAAGCGATGCTTTCAGTACTCGGTTTTGGGAGGGGGGAACTAAATACCGCGAGGACAGCTGTCTTCAGCTCGGCAGGGCTTTTCTCGCAGTTCCTTACCTTTTCCAAGCTCTTGCGATGCAAGATGTTGGCAGACAATGCCGTTTCGCAGATCTAGATCGCAGGGCTCTACAGCTTGTGTGCCACAGTGTGCATATAAAGAAGAGTTCTGATTCGTTTGAACCAACACAAATGACCACAGGGCAGCTTGTCTTGGCCAGACTTGTGGCAACATGTGCCGCAGAATCGAAGTTATGCATGTTTGGGAGAGGGCAGTTTATGTCGTGTAGTTTCTTGAGGCGAGTAATAGGAGGTTTGGTCAGAGAAACGATGGTGTAGTTGCCAAAAGACGAAGAACAGAAGAGTGTTTTTAAGCTGTCTGGCCTCCAGAGTAAGGTCTTCAATGCAGTTTTGTGCTGCATGAACGTCAATTATGCACGTGCAGCTCAACCACCATAGAAGGTAGCGAGCCTGAGCTGGAGGTAAGGCATCTAAAAACCGTCTTTTTTCTAGGCTCTCATGATTGCATGTATTGCCAGGTTCTTTTGTTCAGCTGGCCCATCGTAAGCAATGAAACAACTAGTTCAGCTTAAGTCCGTGACGAGGTTTTCTTGTAACTTGTTTGACTTCTGTTGCGATGCTTGGACAACTGGTGTAAATTTAGATTCACCCCCTAAAGCATCCATTCACACTTATACGATTTGCCACTGACTGATGATAGATGTCATGAAATATTATCCACACATGCAATTAAGTCTAATAGCAATTCTTTCATATATTAACTTAAAACCAATTCTTTCAGACAAACTCAACTTTGTTTTTCCAAGTCTATGTTTTCCTTGCTGGTAGACATCATGTCGACGAAATCGGTTTCTGTAAGTAAACAGACAAGCTCTTCCCATCGCCCATCTGCTATATGCTTCCAGAATGAGTTCTGTGCCTTAAGGTATACTATCAGTACTTGTAAATGAAAAAAATAGGGAAGCAATGTCTCTCCAGTTTCCCATGGACGGAATTTGTAATGCTCTACCGCTGTGATAAATTTTTAAATATATATTAGTGGCTTCCTTATGATACATTTTCTTGCCTTCCTTCGTGTTGGAAAAACATACCTTTAATATCCAAAGTTTAATTCTCACTTTTTTTTGAGCCTTCTCTCGTCCTCTCATAAACTATTCAATAACAATGTGATAACGTACCACCCTTAAGACCTCACATTTGAGCAGGGGCTTGCAGCAATTTATAGGCTACTAATAAAACAAATTCATAGGCTTATTGCCGTATCCTGCAAATGAAGTGGCAATGGCAGCCGTGATGTTCAACAACTTCTGCCGCCGAGCTTGAAACTCTAACCACTCTATGTCGCCATCCGGAGTGGTTCAAGCAAGAACGTTCGAAGCGGCTCGCTTTCTTTTGCGGGCCCCTTCTCCCTCCAGGTTGTGAACATGCTAACATGCTTCGGTGGCACCTTGGCTTAATAATGAACTGCATTGTTGTAACACTCTTAACATTCGCAACTTTCACGGCCTGTGTGGGGCACACTAGTTCCTATCAAAATGACTGTCGTCTGGATGAACTCGTAGAACAGCAGTACGGGCCGGATCTGTGACGCCTAAGTAATTCTAATTTTGTGAAATACGAACAATGTCGGAGCCTTACCTCATACTTCCACATCAGGAAGGTGTGAGCAACCACCTTTGACCTCAAGTCAATCATCTGGGAGCTAGGGAGTGTGATTCTCACACCACGGTATTACCATCGCCGAACGTTGCGAGTAGTACACTCAATCCAGCTCCTGGAATCTTGCGGAATAGATCCTCTCCGAAATTCAGTCTGGCCACTTTGATCACTATCATCATCATCTGAAAAATGGCATATGTGCCGTACTAATGGCGGCCCTCTGTTTACTGATGAAGGAACAAGTTGAAGATACTTCAAAGCTGACAATTCGAGGCCTATACATTCGAAACAATAGCACGTCGCGAAACAGAACTAGACCCTTTGCAAAACTTCCAAATGCCCGCGTGTGCCGCGTGCCGAATAATGTAAGTCCTTAGTGCGCAACTCCTCCCGCTACCACGTGGCATACGTGAGCAGGCGCAGGTTACCATGGCAACGACTTTTGAGCAGCTGAGTCGGGCGAGCGACGAGCCAACGGCAGTTGCCCCTTTCTGATCCCTCTCCTTCGTACCGGCTCTGTCGTCTGCTGCACCAACGCATTGTGGAACCTGGTCAAAACCTGCCACGGTTGCGGTGCAAACTAAATGGATTAGGTGACACTTCAATATGTGAAGGTAAGTTACGACGAACAAGTTGACCTGTCACGATGCCTTTACGCTGCCACAGTTACGGTACGCCACCAACGACGTACGACTCGGCGGATGGCTGCAACAGCTGCTGGCGGTAGCTACTGGGACGCGCGCGCAGTCGCAGAGGCGCAACGAGAAAGCGCATATATGTACCGAGGGTTCCCAAAATTCCCTGCCGTCGTGGCGCTCTAGTTTCGCAAAGGGTCTACTGAATGAAAGAGCTGCATACGCGTTCATTTCCATAAATCATGCCCAGGCAATCTGTTAGTAGCACAGAAACACCTTCAAAGCCTTTTGATGTATAAAACTTTATCAAGGCATCTATCTGAGCTGGCGCTTCATTCTGACTGGTTGCATCTTTGTGGCCATAGACACTGAAAGAGATGATAGAGAAAGAATTGTACAGTGAAGAGCATATTCTCGTTTGCCGTTGATTTGCAAAAGTGATGGTGCTCGATAAAATACTGCAGGCTACAGGTTCAATGCCGCCATTAGTATGGCAAAAGTTAAACTACCTTTTCAGCCACCAGGTGGCACTGAATTTCGGAAAGGGTCTATTTGCCTCTGCAAGCCGCCGGTTGCACGGTGAAATTACTCCCTGGTCATGTGAAATGCGCACCGCCCACCGGCGTGTGCGTCGCGTTTCGGTGCAAGGACGTCGCACCGGCTGCACTTTTTTCCTCTCCCTGAGGTGATGCCCCACTCTCAACCACCGTTGCCTCAGCAACCGACTTGGTTGTGACGACGACTGCGCAACAGCGATCGACTGGCATCATGGGCCATATATGGCTGCCACCGTAAAACTAAACAAATAGTTAGTAGTCCCGTGAATCAATAAAAGCATTCAAGACACTTACATGTTTTGAAGTCCTTCTGGAGTGCAGAGATGTCCCTCGCGTCAAAATAGGAGTAGACAGACTTGCCCAAGAGCTCGTCTGAAGTGTAGCCCAGGAACTTCTCTATCCTGAGGAATGGAAACAAACACAATCGTTCGATCAAACTGTCGCAAATACCCAAAATGATTCGGGAATTCAAAAATGTTACACAGTCTTGGACGAGAGAAATTAGAATGCAAGTATGTTTCATCGTTCAGATATATAGACACATGTCAATTGCTGGTAACAAAAAGATAGGAGTGCTTTCATGTTAGCCTATAACCCACTGGATGTTTTTCTTTGCTGCAGATCTGTTGGTGATACATACTATTTTTACATTAAAGCCATCGACAGTTTCTAAAATTTTTTATTTTTATTTTAGAAATTACATTTAAAGGGGCCCTCCGGAGCTTTCTGCGATCGTCTGTTTATGTTGTTATATTGCGTAGTAGGTGCAAGTTAATATGTATACAAAGTTTTAGATTACAAAACCGTTTATTAAGCAGATGGCAGTAGAAATATATCGGGACTATTTTCTCTCGGAAGACAATCCCCCATTCCCTGCCCATCGCTAAAACTTGACCAATGGAAATGCTGCATCTCGCGGTGAATGCGAACGTTATTATTGCAACACTTTTTAAGCTTGTTGTAAATCAGAGTTTGAGAAAAATGTAAACTGATTGTGGTGCGGGAAACATAGTCCGCAATTATTGCTCCAAAACCACAGAACTATGTTTTCTCCCCGCAAGCTTTTTTTCTAGGGGGTGATGCGTCGGCTCGTCTGCTTCCCGGGGCGTCTGCAGGCGTGCGTTTGTGGGACACGTGTTCCTTCTTCCTGTGGATCCCGACTCCGAAGCCAGCTTTGCGATCCTTCCATGTCAACGAGTCAAACTTTTCCTTGTCATCTGTGGAATGCGACTATGTATTGCAGTGCCAGCGCGACGGTGCGCTGCGACAAACGACGACTGCCGAGCACATATCCGGGCTCCTTGACGACGGTCCGCGCGTGTTCGAGAGATTCCTCTGCGGGTCGGCGGTCGGCCGCGTTGGTGACGCGCAGCGACGCCGGAATCCTTCGCTTGCTATTGGCTGACGCGTAAAGAGATGCCCCTCCCGTTTTCCGGGGTCACCTCAGAAAGGGGGGCGTGCCGGGGACTTTGATAGCAATTTTAATAGGGAAATCCGCTGCGCATGACCATAATTTTATGATTTTTAGGATCCTTAGGGCCTGTAGATTGAGTTACCGCCATAAATAGACCATCGCAGAACGCTCCGGAGGGCCCCTTTAAAGCTCACTTTTATCGCAATAAATTACAATTTGACATAGAGCCCAACTTGTGTTCTGCAAACAATGCAATGCAATCAGGTTTGCTGGTCCGAATTACATAAGATCTATTTTTGGTGAGTCCTTCGACGGGAACGGAAGCTTGGTACCGGAATAAATAATTCCACATACGAGCCAGGTGATCCAGGTTGCACACAACCGAAACAGAAGAAACAACAAACATGCATGCACGACACAATGTCTCGCAACCATGCACAAAAACTTTCATGTTTTATAGTCGTTTTGTGGGCTTCCTTTGCCTCCGATTCATCATGCAAAAACGTCTTGTTCGGAGGTTAAGCAGTTTAAAAAGCGTTCACATTGCCGTCCTACCGCACCTGATTCCTGTAGCACGAGGAACAGGTGCACATGCCGATAGGAGGTGGCACAATGAATTGTGCCAAACAGAAAGCTGCTGGGAATCGGCAACTTTTACCAGTCATTATAAGTGCCCTAGGGATGCCTAAACCATTCTAATAGCTGCCTTTTGCACCCTGTCGTCTTTGCCTACCAAGCAGTAAAAAAAGTGTTCCCAGCATACGCAGTTAGCGCCCTTCTGCAGAATGCCATACGCCACGCAGGCGCCCACAACCCAGTGGCATTTTTCGCCCGGGTGACGAACGGTGAGAAGGCGCGTGTGACTTGTCGCAACTATAAATCCAGGCCACCAGGTGCACCTCAGAGTTTCAGAGTAGCACCAGTTTACCTGCGCTGCACGATCCGTGAGCACACGCTGGCTTAACGAAGGAGGGGGCTGCGTACAGGCGAGGTCCATGCTCGCAAAGTGGAGTTTTTCATGTTTACCGGTCGTTCTGCAAGCGCGGACCAGTTCTCCGACTTCGCCGCCCCACTTGACGAGAAGGACTCCACGATAATGCTGTTAGCGGCGTCAACGCAGCCGTTGCACCACAATGTACCGCGGCGATTTACTCCATTTTGCTCCGAGTCCGACCGCAGCGGATGCTATGGTCCGGCGAAACCAATCGAGCTGCGCCGAAAGTGCACCGTTGCAGCGCTCGACGTCTTTGCGGGTCGGCCATCGGCGGTTAAACCGATCGCGTAGGAAAATCAAGCTCGATCATGCCGAGAAAGACCAAAGAGAACAGAATGTGTCCCGCACAAACCACGCTCCGCACATCGTTTGTGCTAGACTTTTATTCTTTTTATTACAGGCCTTGTCTTCTTTTCGTGTTTATTTTTATTTTATCTATTTTTATTTCAATACATTTATATAGTTTACTTCGTTTATATATTTCATTCCCTGATTTATGATTATTACTTTTTTATCCATTTATTTTTATTTTTGGTTACGCATTTTCATTAATTTTTGTCATTTTCACCCAAAATAGGCCACTCTTGCTGGCACGTCTGCATTCACATAAAGACCATCTATCCCTCCAGACCAGCTGTGCTAATAGCCCGGTGGCCACAACATCCGACACTGCCACCGCACCGAACTGGGTTCAATCCCCGCCGGAGCTCGAACCTTATTCAATGACTTTATAAAAAAAATGTTAACCTCTTTGACGCTCCCAGCATGTTGCGTTCACGAGGCTCGCCACGACGGTCGTTACGAGCTCGTTCGTGACAATTTTCTTATAAGGAAAGGTTCCTAAAACACACTTTGCATTAAAAGTGCAGGATTGCTGCGCCTTCACCACGCGCATATTTTTGAGCGTCAGACGACGCGCTTTTCGCTTCATCGAATCGTAGCGTCGGCTGCGGCCAGATTTAAAGCAAAACTGAGTACGGTGCTACCACCAGCTGCAGAGACTAAAAGCCAATGGGACCGCACCACAAATGCTGGCCGACGTAGAGTACCTTTTTCGAAACCTTGTAGAGCGACGTCGGCAGTCGCCGTTCTTCGGGCACAAGGCACACAATTAGGTCCGAGCCCTAGACGAACGCCGATGCGGCATTCATTCTCAACGCAACCGAGCCGAATTCCCACCGAACACCGCTGTAGCCGTCGCGTCCGACACGGGCCAAAGTACGTGCCCGAGCAATGATAGACTGGGATAATGTGCCATTTTCAAAATTCCGAAATGACGCATAGATTATGTGCGGCCGCCATTAGCCAATCGTGCACCGTGAGCACGCGTTGGACGCGAGAGCTTCGTCGGCATTCCGATTGTACTCGAATCGAAGTGCATTTTGCACGAGTGCTACGTTGGTGCTCGACGCGAACTCGGAGCCGATCGCGAGCTTCACGCCGGAAGCGATGAGACCAACTAATGGCGGCTGCGCATAATCTATGCATCATTTCGCAATTTTGGAAAGGGTCTGTGTGCACGGCAGACACGGATAATTGGTGCAACAACTACTAGACGGCGCCGCACCTGTCGTCGACGTGGGTGAAGCGCATGCTGGGGCTGTGGCGGCTGAGGAAGGTCCGGCTGCCGAGCGGCACCTCGATGTTGGAAGGGTGAGGGATGGGCTGTGCCACGCACACCAGGAAGCGGCGCTGCTCCTTGGCCGGCGCCTGGCCGCACGGCTCTGGAGACGCCTCGGACGGTTCCGGCGGCTCCTCTTCTTCCTCCGCGTCGTCCTCCCGATGCGACGACGGGGCTACATCGCGGAGCACCCGGTGCCCCACGCAGTGTAGCACCTGCGCGTCGGGGAAAGAGGGCGTCGTCGTACGGAACGCTTCGTTTGAAAGACGTGCGGCATGTCCCACCAAAACATTTTGAAGTGTTTCTCTCGCTGCAAAAATTACGTACGCATCGCCGAACACTCTGTCTACGTCGACACAAAGCACTGGCGATGCGGACCGGATACCAAAGTTTCGGAACTGACGGTCATCTTTTTCGAAGGGATTTCTTTCAATGGGAACACCGGGCTCATTTTTGGTGGCTCGCGTGATTCATCCTCATCTATTCGTGGGCGTTGTTGGCCACTGTTTTACCGTCGAAAACTTCCGAAAAGTAATTCCTACTTTCACGCATCTTTCTTTCTTTATTGGCTCGAAAACTTCAGACAATCTCACAAACAATTGTTTCTCATAGTGAATACATTCGTTTGATCTTACAAATAGTTAAAAACCCTCGCTCTATTGAAATGCAATTCGAGGGCCACCTTCTAGACGGCGCCAGTGGGTTCGCTCGTCGTAAGAGACCACGGAACTCGGTCGTAAGCAAAAGCATGTGTGTTAACCAGCCTTTAGTCGCCTGGTCACGATCTTAGTGGCGACGCAGCAGTGGAGGCAAATACGTCACACGCCTGTTCCAACCATTCAACAAAAACTGACGTGGCCTTGGGTCGGAACGTTGTAATAACGTCAACCCTCGCGTCGCCTCGTCATTTTTGCCAACACTTTTACGACCAACTGCCAGGACCATGACAAGCAATTAGATGCACCATTGGTTCCTGCGACATCCTTTGTCATCACTTCGGGGCTGCTTTCGATGCATTGGTGGTATATGTGGCTTGCACCGACGTTGCATCGGCGGCCACTGTGATGGCCTCGCTGCAGAGCGCATAGCTTCTACTGTGTACCGTATTTTCCGATGTATAAGTCGTATTTGTTTCCCAAATTTTCGCAGATGCATCTTATGCAGCAGTCCAGCCTAAATGCACTTTTTCCAATAAGTATGGACCTCGACTGTGCAAGATGTAGGCAGCACTGACATTTACAAAGAAGCAGAAATAGCTTATAGAACGGAAAATATGGTGTATGTTGCATCACTGAATTTTCTTTTCACAGCAAGAACAAGTGGAAATGACCACAAGCTTGATGAGATAATGTCACACGCAAGCCGTAAACCATATTTTCTGGCCTATAACTTGTACCACTACATAAGTCGCACCCTCCTATAGACGACCGTTTTCATGAAAAAGCTGGTGCTTTTTCAAATGGCATCTTTCTATAAGTTGCACATAGCTACGGAGGACTGCAAAGGATGGCGCGCAGAGGAGCTGCAGCTGCAGACCGTTGTTGCCACGCTTCGGACAGTCTTCATCAGGTCATTGATGGGCGTGCTGCCATTCCTCCTTTGGGTTAAATGTTGATGCGACCTAAATTTTGCACCGTTAAGGCCCGTTCACTCCCTTGCGACCTCTTAAAACTGGATTCCTTGAAACCTTTTACGAGAGGACACACTGGCGCCATCTATTGGGTAGCAGTGTAAACTTGGTGGTCCGGCATATTTTCTATTTCCCTCGCACGTTATCCTTTCTTTCTTGGCTCGAAAAACTTTTGCCAACGTTATAAACGATCCTTTCTTATAGGTATTACGCACATTTGACCTCGGAAATACAGCAAAACCTTCGCTCTGTGAAATGCAGTTCCGGGGTCACCGCATAGATGGCGCCAGCATGCCAGTGTGTTCTCTCGTCCTAAGAAATTTTAAGAGGTTTTAACTAAGTATCGTCTCCCTCGGTCGTACTCAGTTGTAAGAGTGTGAACGGGCCTTCAAAGTCCATATATGCAAAAAAAAGTGCTAAAAAAACACTGAATGTAGGAAAAAAAAACTGTTTTCTATCTGGCTAGGACAGGCAAATCTAAAAATAAAAGTTTGCCGAAAAACACTTTATATATTGATATAAATTTTTCGATTTATGGGCAAAACCGTAATTGTAGCCTGTGAGATGATGATGATAGCATTTGTACACAACTAGTGTGCCTCTGAGGTTCACCGAACTCGGAGAGCACACTAGAATGGTACAGTCTCCGGCGATATCAAAGACCCACTGGGAGCGCGTGGCCGAGGCAGTGGCTGGCGGGGGCGCTACGAGCGCTCCGGGCAATTCCATTCTGCTTCGAGGGGAGGATGCTCACTCGGGGCTCAGCACAAACTGATAAGCGCGCGCTTTAGCTGAGCCCCGAGTGAGCGTCCTCCCCTCAAAGCAGAGCGGAACTGCCCGGAGCGCTCGCAGCGCCCCGCCAGCCACCGCCTCGGCCACGCGCTCCCAGTGGGTCTTTCATATCGCCGGAGACTGTACAAATGCTACCATCATCATTTGACAAGCGTACACGGTTTTGCCCACAAATCGAAAAATTTGCATTGTAACATAAATATTGGACAAAAAAAATCTTGTTGTATAATATTTTTTTCTCCCTAGGTTTAGTGTTTTTTTAAAGTTGTACTGTTATATGGGACACACCAACGTAAATCTGGCAATATAAGCAAGACTCATACGTTGGAAAATATGACATACAATATTAAACGCGCCTGTAAATAAGACTCGTTTCGAGCATCGTAAGAACAGCCACTTATGAGGGGGGGATTTATATGCTGGAAAATATGGTACATGGTACAGCGCTGAATTTGCTTTTCTTGGCAGGAACAAACACAATGGAAACGACCACCTATACAGTGTAAGGATGTCACGTGCAAGTTGCATATACGACGCTGAATGCGCCGGTCAAAGGCACGTTTCGAGCCCCGTTCCCCCTACGTACCTTGTAGGACGAGGCGGACTTGACGCCGACGCCGCGACCCTTGCTGCCGAGGGCACAGCGTAAGCGCACAAAGAAGGAACACGGTTGCGGGAACTCCTCGCCACTCTCTGGGGCTTTGGCTGCTCCGCCGGGGCACAGCACCTCCTTCAGCTCGTCGTGGTCGCACGGGTGGCAGAACTCAAACAGGCTTTGGCCTATCAGGTCAACCTGGGGGGAATTGGCAGCGAACGATTACCACTGGCTATCAGTTGCGTTTATACTAGTGTACAGGACACAATTGTCGGCAAAGAGTCTTGTCTGGATTTTAGGATCTATGTCATTTATAATGTCTTTTATGTGGACAAGAAATAAGGAAGGCCTCAGAACGGATGCCTGGGGACTTAAAAAAATAAAAGAAAACTTTTAGGGAAGCAGAATGAGTGCTATTAATTTCGACACATTGCATTTTGTTGCTTAGGAAAGACCGCATCCATTGCAACGGTTCATTGTGAGCTCCTGCCGCTTTTAATTTAAAAAAGTATTTTAGAATGGCGGCGACTATTTCAACGTCTACCGTCAAAATACCTAAAATTCACTTCGATGCCTATGATATCACTTCCATAAAACCTGCAAAACGTCAAACTAGTGGCTTGATTATTTCGACGTCCCTGTCAATGCCGCCGTCATTTCGTGGTTTCATTCAGTTAATTTCCAATGGTGTTATCAGTGCTGTGTTGACATGTTGACAGAGTCATGTGTTGCTTGCCTAAGAAGTTTCGGTCTTAGTTGGCAGTGTTAAATGTCATATTCAGTGTGAGCGTGGCACTGGCTCGACAGTTGATCCTTTCGGTCATGACACGCCCGGCGGCAATGTTTTGAGCTCTCGCACGTCATTTCGGCATGCGTCTCACTTAAAATTTTGAATCTACAACAAAGGCGAGCTCGATATCCATCTGTCTTGCCTACACATAACAAATGTAAGTGCGTGCTCTACATAACACTGAAAAATTTGGCATGGTTTCGTGCCTTCATATCGTGTGAGCGCGTTCGTATGCTCGCAGTCTCGCTTTGCATCTGGCTCCCGCCATGTTTTGAACCGGATTTTGTGAGTTTGCTGTTTAGTTTAGATTTTCTGTTTGGTTTGGGTATAACAAGCCGGTTAACTACAAAACGATTGTGATGTTAAGTAAAAGGTTGTGAATGCAAACATTGTCTCCTTGATGTTTCTTTACTGGTGCGAACGAACAAAGTTCTGGTACGATTGTACGAGATACACATATTTGCCAATCAACTGAGAATTTAATGACACAACATTAAACTCTTTTGTCTACATAAAACACGTGAAATAAATCATGAAACGCAATGGTGCCGCATTCTGTAATGCTGGGCACAACCAAGCAAACGTGATGTGCTGCTTGTTAGCAGATGTTGTACTTTGAGAAGTTTTTTTTCCACATCAGTTAAAAAGTCATAAGAACTGCAGTTGATTGCACATTTGTTTTTGAAGAATGCATGTTGAACCACGATGCCACCTACAAGCAAGATGATATTTGTTTGATCGCCGCCTTTTATCACTTTTCAGTCCGAACTCCGGAGCTCCAAACCCCTCTAATGTTCTAAGTTCGAGATTTCAAACTAAGAGGAAGAATATTTTGACGGGGGCCATCAAAATAATACTGAAACTATTTTCACGTCTTCAGGAAGTGGTATCACGGACGTCAGAATATTATCTCAAATAATATTTGGATGTTGAAATAGTCACTACCTTTTAGAATACATGGCAACACTCAAATACAAAGACAAAAGGAGGAGAACTGGACAGCACTGTACGCTTTTGTCCTTGTCTTCGAGTGCTACCATGTATTCTAAAATTAAGCTCCAACTTGCCCAACAATCAGCACAATTCAGTTTAAATAAAGAAATTCATTGTGGGGCAGTGTCAAAGGCCTTGGCAAAGTCGATAAGCACCACATCAACTTGACCTTTGTCATTGGGGATGCTTGCCAAGTCATGTAAAGTGCAAACAAGCCGGGTTGTGATGGAGCATCTGTGCCAAAACAATGTCAGGAATCGGTAAAAAAAAAGGTTACTATTTTAAGATAATCAGTGATGCATGATTGTACACTACATTTTCAAGCAGTTTGGAAGGCATTCACCATATGTTCACGGAGTTTGGAACAGCGTTTAAGTTAGGGATGAGACCGCGCTTTTCGATTCAAAGCACAATTACCACAGCTCTAGAGCAGTATTCAAAGCTACGTTTGCCAAGGTAGTACTAGCTCCTATGCAAAAAGACACCATGGAGGCAATGAGATACACAAAGCGGACATGCTTGCACGCCGCCTATATTTGGAGTACAAGGCGACCGCTCGTCAACGAGAGCAGCAACGGAAACAAAACAATGCCGTTGGTAACACCGGTGCGAGAGTTTGTCCCTTCTTCCCACACTTTGAGACCTTGCCAGAAACGTATGCGGTCTATTAAAACACTTTGAGGGACTCCAGTCTCAGTGGCCACTGTGCACAATCGGATCCGTTACACGAACAAGACACCGTGCAGACAGATCACCCATTGTCTCCTCGGTAAACACGGTACACAAATGCGGCGCTCTACAGGACACGATTCTATGTGAAATGGAGTGTGGAACCTGAGACATTGAAGTCAGCTGTACCAGAAACTGAAGGCAGAGCAAGTTGTGCTTTTTTTTTTCTGCCTCGTTGAAATGCAAAAAAAAGAAGACAGATTCTTTTTTTTTTATATATGTTTAATATCCTGATTGATCCAGCTGCCATTAAATACAGAGCATGCACCCATGTTGCAATGAGAGCCCACCCCCCATTTTTCAAACACTCGAAATAGTATAGGCAAACGTCATAACAACTGCACACACCCCAGCAAATTTTCGAGCCCCCAGGGCTTGCCGAGGTACTCGTCTGCGTCAGCTACTCCTCCGAGAAGCCCGCGCAAACCAATGAAGCTTTACTCGCGTGCGTCGGTGCGAAGTGGTAAAGGTTGACACGAGAGAGCTGGTGCAAACTGGGCTCGACGAGGGCAGCACGGCTGTGTCGAAAATAAGAAATCCTGCCCCACACAGCTCCTGCACCGTACCGCCAGATCAAACAAGGGCCTATCCTATCGTGTGACCCTTCCGCCTTTTTGCTCTCCGTCCTACATAAATCCCCATCTTTGTCTATTTGTGATTACTTTTAACTTTCGCACTGGGGTTCTTGTCCAGTATTTTACGGCGGTCCAGAGTGATACTTTTTCCGTTTTATGAATTTGCTTCACTACACAGAAATTCCAATCTTTCCCACGCCACTTCTCTGTATTAGTGCTTCCCAGCCTGTACTTCACTTCTCCTTGCCTTGTGAGTAACAAAATGGAAAATTATGTTTTTAACTTCATACACATATCTTTAAAGGGCTACAGAAAAGAAATTCCAACACTCATTTTTAGTTTTAATGTGTTGCATGTTGCAGCATTACCTCAAAGATACCAGTCTTTCGTGGAAAGGCACAAGAAAACTCATTTTAAAGCTAATTAAATGATCTTTCAATGTGCACCTGGTAGATGCATGTGGAGCCTATTTGGGAGGTAATCTAGCAACGTTGGGGAACTAGCTACATAGTCATGACGTAGCAAGTTCCATTGGAGCACCACCGCTCTTTGGAATTCAACATTTTCCTTCATAGCTTTCCTCAACTCACAAATCGCGCGTTGTACCAAACCCTCATTTGTGTACCCAGACACAGCCACACTCCTTCTAGAAGATTAGGCCGTCGCTCAAAATTTTGACAAAAGTTGCTTCTTCCACTCCGTTTCCACCACCACAGTGCTGTGGAAGCTATGTGCTCCTTAGGCCAGCCCACAGGTATTTTGAAGTTGACGCTATTAGCACCACCACAACGCTGACAGCGCCACCAACAGCAAAGCTCATAACCACGCCAGCTTTGCTACGTCACGAATGTGGGGAATCTTTTTTTTCTGTTTTTGTTAGCGCCGGATATCCCATGACACATTGCGCTCTCTGTTCGCTTCTCTTCGCACCGTTTAGAACGAAAAATATAGCCAATCGTTCAAAATACAAAGGGGCGATTGTCGTTTACGGTTATTATCCGTCGTGCTTGACTCATTTCCGAACGAAATCTGAATATTTCGATTTTCGTTTCCGTACCCCTTTAACTCGATATACATACTTTTTAACTCAGTATTACTCAGTATATATACATACATAGACTACATTGCAACCGCTTTTCAGCGCTTACAATGAGAGGACACACTGGCACAATCTGTCGCCTGCAACACTACCGAGCCGTGTATAACTATACTGGAGGCTTTGCAGTCTTCGAGGGATCGAATCTATGCAGTATTTATGAGAAATAGCCACTTATAACACCGTAAGAATCATTTCGAGCTCACACTGAAAGAATGATGCATAAAACATGCAACATGTACCCCCCCTCCCCAAAAAAAAAAAAAAAATTACGGTGCATTTTTTGTTACTAAGATAAGCCACGCATCTCGAAACGTTCGCTCTCCGCCCAAATGTAACGCTAGCAGTCCGAACCAGATGTCGAAGTTTTGAAATAAACTGTCATCTCTTTCAAAAGCTAAACATATTTCTGAAAATTTCGATGGGAAAATGGGACCCGTAATTTCCCATTTTCGGTGACTGGCGCCGCTCGCCTCCACGTATTTGAGAGCTCCGTCGGCCGCCATTTTCCCGCTGAAAATTAAAAAATTCCCGCTGAAAATTAAAAAACCTGGTCATAATTTTTTAACAAGATGACGGTTAGCTTTGAAACCTTCCGGTTGGGACCGCTGGGGCTACATTTGGGCAAAGAATGAGCGTTCAACAATGCTTAGCTTATCTTTAAAAAAAAAGAAAAAAAAAAAAAAAAAAATTGTAAATTTTTTTTTTTTTTTTTTTGTGGGACACTTTATACAGAGTGTTTCAGAAAACGCAGGCCAAATCGCTCCTGAAAAAACTACTCATCGCAATGAAAAAAGGCTTGTGGCGTTTTGGTCTTTGGCCAGGGGCCTATTTAGGAAAATTAATAAAGTCCGGGATAATTAGACTGTTCATTATTTTTGCGTAATTAACTTTTTTAATATTGTGTTTAAGGGCATGGTTTAAATTAGAAAATTGCTCGGCATCATCGAAAACCACTAAATCAACAAATTGCAGAACGATAAAAGGCACGCAAAGCATTTTACGGCTTTCTGAAAAAGCGCACAAAATCGACGGGTTTTTAAGTTTCGGTTTGTTATGGGAGCGCATCTCCGCCCCGATGGCACCGCGCCCCGTGGAGAGATAGTGCTACCAACCTCTGCTGGGCTGTCACCGCGCAACGCAGCAGAGTCTGGTTGCACTATCTCTTCATGGGGTGCGGTGCTGTCGGGGTGGAGATGCGCTCCCATAACAAACCGAAACTTAAACACTCGTCAAATTTGTGCAGTTCTTCAGAAAGCCGTAAAATGCTTCACGTGCCTTCTATCGTTCTGCAATTTGTTGATTTAGTGATTTTCGATAATGCTGAACAATTTTCTAATTTAAACCATGCCCTTAAACACAATAATAAAAAAGTTAATGAGGCAAAAATAATTAACAAGTTAATTATCCCAGACTTTTCTTACATGGGCCCCCGGCCCAGGACCACAATGCCACAAGCCTTTTTTCGTTGCGATGAGTAGTTTTCGCACGAGCGATTTGGCCTGCGTTCTCTGAAACACCCTGTATAAGCGGACGGGGTGTGTTCCAAGAACACCCAATAGATGGAGCCAGCATGTCCTCTCGTCACAAGCATTCCCAAGCGGTCGATCACAGTCAGACACACACGTGAAAAATGTGGGAACGATCCTTATCTCCACTGTCGAGACACGCATGGGGGCTGTTCCGGGTGGTACAGATTAAGATCCAATTCAACAGATTTCTCCTTGCCCCACGAGTCTACCAAGCAGTTGACGAACCGACCGCACCGGCGATACTGCGAGCGCGATACCGGGGAAAGGGAGATACGCACGTGGCACATTTATGATCGCCTGTAGCCCAACAGCACGAAGAGCGGAGTTAGTCACACCCCTTGAGAGAAACCGCTCCAAGACAGCCAAGATAATGGCTCGGATATCCGCCGCTGCCGCCGCGTTGCGTAAAGGGCAGTATCTATATGGGACATCCAAACACGGCCGTGCGACTATCGGTGCCCCATTATCGCCTTCTCACTTTTGTAGAGAGTGCAGCAAACTGTCCTGGTCCATGAAACGTGGTCGTAACTAGAGCTGTAAAGTAACTAGTTATGAGTATAATTCATCCTAATTGGTCACATTTTCCCGTAACCTGTAGCTTGGTTTAGTTACGGTTACCCCTCCGAGACCCTTAATGTTCCGATAAAGTGGCGGTGCTATTGTTCATGGAAACTTTTAGTCGAGACGTCTATGTTACCGCCTTGAAACCTGTTGTAAGTAGTGGGTCGAATAGAACTCATGTTCGGACTGAATGAACACGTGTCTAAGCCAAACGTTGATGCAGCACTTGCATCCAATCTGTGCGCTCGTTGACCTTGATTAGGCGACGCCAGAAATTCAGAACTACGGCGCTCTTATCTAGGAAGTGTCGCTGGAACTCAATCCTGGTGGCAAGCTTGATCCTTGGAGTAGCTTGAAACCTTGGTTTTAATTTGCATGCTGATTGTACCTTTGCTGCTTAACATTAGCTCGCAGTGGAAGCTAAATAAGATCGCTCTCCCTCCTTTGTGAGGTTGTGACATTATCGTGATGTAAATTATCATAGGTGGTGACTGGAAATTATCTTTATGCTTCTGATGCTCTATGGCAGTACATTACCCCATTTGCTATACCTCTGGCAGGTATGGCTGAATGAATTATACAAAACCAAGAAATAATCCCGCTTTTGTTTATTTCGGAAGAGAGTCCCACTAAACTGCACTCGATGTGTCACATATGGATGCATGAACATCAGTCAGTGGGGGAAGAAGTACTTGAGGAGGACATGTGGTAATTTCGGTTTCATGAATTAATGCATTCCGTTTTCAGAAACTAATGTTAAGAATATAAAACCTGTATGCTTTATGAATGCAAAGCCAAATGCATAGCCAAGCCAAAGTATGAAAACTGATTAATAGCCTCTTTTATTTATGTTCGCTTTTTTCATAAGTTCTGAGACTGTTCCATGCCCACTGTAGCGCTTTCAGCACACGAGGACAGTGGTTAGAATTTTGAGGGGAAAATGCCCCAAAAGAGGAGTCTCATTAAGCCCTTTCTCTCAAAAAGGTCTTACCTTCCCTATATCCGGAAGCAACAGGAATAATGCTCAATTTGTTCCATTGGGATGCACATTCAGCTGAGACTTCGACATAACTAAGAATGTAGAAACAAATCTACAGTTTAAACAAATCATGAGAAAAGCACAGCAGCAATCAGTACTGCTATGAAGGAATCATGATGAAAACATATTATTCAAGATAATTAGAAATAATATTACATGGCCGTACTAGAATCGGCAACCTTTTGCTGCTGCAGCCCACATTGTTGCAAAGCGGAGACAGAGTGGGCCGGATGAAAATCCAGGGCAAGAAGGAGGAGAAGGGGGGAGGAGGGGGGAGGCAGAGAGGCGAGAGGTGATCGGATCACAAAAATAACAGATAAAGCAGAAAGTGAGCTGCTATGCTCAGTGCTGCAGGCTGTATTTCGTGTGGCTCCTGAAGCTGCAGGTTCTGCCTCCATCATTCATGCAGAGCTACACAGTTCTGATTTCAAAGTCCAATAACCGAGACAAACTAAAAAACATGTTACCGTCCACATTCTCTTTGTAATGTGGACTATAAGATTTTTGCTAAACTTCTGAAAAGTTGCTTGGTTGTAATCCTCATAGCGAGCCTCTGAGTGCGACAGAAACTGTTGAAATTGACAATAGTATGAACAGCGATTCCAAACGAAAAGTATGCTAAATACAACAACCTTAATTCTCAATTTCCAATGCCTCACTGTGGTGCTGATTTCCTGCTAGGCCGCTTCAGAGTCAATACGTCCAATTAGGTACACCAGGCTTGCAGCCAACAATAATTCTTGTGCCACTAGTCTTGAAGTGCATGTGTGTGTGCATGCGCCGTTGTGGGGGGGTGGGGTCATGTCTGGAAGCATGTCGAATGCTGCACAATGTCCCCCCTGGGCCGCCGGTTGCCGACCCCTGTGCTACAGAATAAGATCGCTGTTCCAAACTCAGCTCTGGATGCCAGCAATATGCTTCACCATTCATGAGTCAAATCTTTTATTTATATATTAATAACTTGATCTAAAGACATGATGATGAGGCCTACTCATTAGGAATTCATGAATTATTCATCTTTAGAACGATTTTAATGAAGGAAAGCCCAGCCCCAAGCATGACAACTTTCCCGTAGACAGTGCAGTTAACTGCTAAAGAACTATGACAGTGCCTGTAGTCAGTGGCAGGTCAAGAACGAAATGGAAGCTCCTCCCACCCCTTTCCACTTCAGCGGAGCGAACGGTGGAGTGGAGGTTGCCTCCTCTCCAGTGTTCACTCTGCTAGAGTGGAAACAGGTGGAAGGGGCTGCCACTTAGTTCTTGAACTGTCACGTTTCAGCTATGCCACGGAAGGAACTGTGGGATAGGTCGATCCCAAGCCTAAATTACAGCCCTGTAGTACTGGAATTCACTTCTAGTACCATAACACAGTTGACTGTTTAACAGACCCAAAACCCAAAACAAGAGGTCACTCATTATAAAGAAGCTAACTCTGATGGTGACAGCACATAGAAAAAATTGACACCAAACAGAATATAGTCTTAATGCAATCTTAATAACCTTTATCCAACACCGAAGGAACACTGAAAGCAAAATGGTGACGACTTGTCACGCTAAACCAAACCCGAGGACTCTTACCGCGATGGGCCAAACGCTGAACCCGAATGCCGTTCTTCGGCGGAGCGTAACGTTTGCTCGAAGTCCCTAAAGATTGAAACCTTACCTGATTCAGTCCAAGATGGCGGCTGATGTTCTCCGACAAGAAAAGCACGTCTCCGTCTGCTGACAGCACCACCAGGAATCCGTCCAGCGCCTCCAGCACGGACGCGTCGTAAGCACTGGACACCTTCTCTTCTTTTAGCTCTGCAGAGACACATGTGCAAAAGTAGGGACGACCTGAAGAAAGTCAGTAGCTAGCCCTACATTCAAAGTTTTCTAGGAATCACGCTGGATTCATAAGTTAAAGGCTGGTAGAGACATTTGCGTCTGACTGCGACCACTTACTACCGAGTGCCTTAACACCTCTTGGATTTAGGTGTTAGCCGTGGAACACTAAAGATTTCCGTATATTTAATATTTTTTTCCACGCATCATTCTTTCTTTCGTGGCTTGAAAAGCTTTTGGCAATGCTGCTAAGGGTCCTCTCGTCGCGAGAAATCGGAAGAACTCGGTCGTAAGCCAACGCAAATGTGCAAACCGGCCTTGATCGGCTGCTGAGCTACGACATCCTGCAACCGAAACGACAGAACAAGGTGGCACACGGGCACCACCTATCGGCCAGCCCTTGAGTGCTTCCATTGTGTGTATACCTTTTATGCACCATTCTTGAACCATGGGCTTGAAACAGTACTGCCAATGCCATAAACGACTATTTCTCATAGATAGTGTCTAGATTTAATCTCCCAGGTACTGCAAAGCCTTCGGTCTAGTTATACCTAGCAGATAAGAAGTAGGTTTGAGGGCCACCCAAGAGATGATGCTGGCATTCCATAGTGTTCAAGAGATCATAGCACGGTCAATCTCGGTCAAATGCAAACAAATGAGCGAACCAGCTCAAGTGTACAGAGTAAAACAACTTGCCTCCGTCTTTAATTACATTTGACACATCTGCCACAGACCACACCGTCAGTGAAGCACACAACGTGGCTGTGCTCGGTCTATATGCCAAAGCCTAACCAAAAGATGCCACTTGACTCGATCAAGCTCCCTGCTGTCTGCAACTCTGTTTATTTTTTAAAATAAAAGAACAGGTACTAATAGAAAAGACACGCAATGAAGAAGACTGGCTTCAGGTAACTTCATGTTACAGGGAGCCCCCAGCTAACTTCGAGTCGAATGTGGTTAACGAGCAATAATACAGCGCCCAACTAAGAACTGGTCATGTGCTGAAGAGCGTGGCAGTGCTCATTCTGCTTATTTCTTTTGACTGTCTGTTGTCTCTTAATGCTGTCATTCTCTCCAGCTATGTGTGCCAACCAGTCTTGATTAGAAATGCGTTACTACCGTGGAATACCGTGCATCCGCCCATTCCACATTATGCGCCCATTCCCAAATTTGTAAGATCTGAGAAAATACGCACAGTACATTTGCATGTAAAATTGATGACCGGACAAGCGCCCCTCCCCCATTTTTTTGCGATTATCCCCAAAGTTTGAGTGGGCGCTTGCCCGGTATTTTACGATAGTAACGCATTATTGTAACTTCGTTACTTTTTTGGTAACTTGTAACTGTAACAAGTTCACTTTTTAAAAATGTAACTTGTAACTGTAGTTCTATTACTTTTTTTCAGGTAACGGTAAAGGTAAGGACGTTACTTCTGTCGTTACTTTCCAATGAATAATGTATCAATGGACGAGTACAATCTAGCTATTCCTTGCACTTTCCAAATTGCTTGTTCCAACATTTCGAGTGTCAAGTTGGCCTTCCACAAACTTGTAAATACGCGTTCTATCTCACAAGTCACGACCTGAATATAGCCACGTGTAGATTTGATGAAAAAAAAATATCTAGCTATCTTTACGCACGCACTTCTACTTTGTGACTGAACACTTACATTTTAGTATCTGAAGCACAATCTACCTATGTTGCAGTTTTTCTTTTTCCTGCACAAACACTTTTTAATCGGGTGAATCAACCGTGAATCAACAATACACGAGGAGGGCACTGCGCATGTTTCATATTTTGATTAGCGCCACTACTCCACAATGCGCATGTTTTGTGTTTTGATTCTGTCCCACTATTCCGGCGTGGTGTCAACAATCGAGGCAAAATTTACTGCTGTTTGCGCGGGGTTTGTTTCTGGCTTGCCGGGTACAAACTAAAATATGTCAAGGGACTCTATGAACCCAGCGCAACCGTCAGTGAGCCAGCAATGTGCTAATGCTACCAAGGATAGGGAATTTGTATTGGTTCCGCGTTTGCCCCCATGCAATTCCTTTCAGTGTGCCAGCTGGGCGTCTGTTCAGCAAGGGCAGGCACGTGTTCGCCATGAAACGAAGGACACTTTCAGAAGCTAATATCGAGAAGCAACTGCTGCTAAGTCACAATATGAAGTAAAAACCACACTTTTTAACTTTATGAAAAAAAAAATCTTGGTGAAAGGAGTTTCCTAGTTTTTCCTAAATTTTTTTTTTCTGTGTTATAGAAAAGTAACATCGTTACTTTTAAAAGTAACTGTAACTGTAACAAGTTACTCTTTTGTTGCGGTAACTGTAACGGTAACTTTGCTACTTTTTTTTTAAAGTAACTGTAACTGTAACAAATTACTTTCTAAATGTAACTTACCCAAGACCAACTAGCCCAAATGATATTTCTTTTACAGTGCGTGTTCACTGATCGTGCTTTGAACTGTGGTTGAGTCAGCAGTGCTTGGAATCTATTTAGAGTCAGCACAAATACTGCTTGTTCAAGTGGAACTTTATGGGGGAGTAATGCCTAAAGCTTGTAAAAACAAAAATGTTGAGAAGAAATTGTCATTGTACAAAGAGGAGCATTTAGTACCAGGAGGGTTCACACATTTCACGGTACAAAAAACGGGCATTTCTGAAGTAAAGCCTGCACCAATGACACCAAGCCTGTGTAGCCAAATGTATCATTACGTAAACTCAAACATCTGCCCGAGTCATCTTCGCCGAACTGCAGTGTGCCCCTCAAGATTACGGCCCCTGACAATCTCTTACACCTACCAAGGGATTATGCATGGCGGCAAGGATCGAGAGCTAATTCTTTGATAGCACAACAAATCCTCACTCTTGCAAAAGGAGATCAGACAGGGCAATTAGCCCTAAGTCCTCGTGATAAAGGTCTCGTGATATGATGCCACTGCTTGCTCGAAGATTGCTTCCAGAGGCATTTCTAAGAGTCCGGTCCTCATTCTCTACAACATCAATTTAATTTGTGCTTCTAAGAAAATGTTGTTACAATGGCTGCAGTTAAATAAAGAAACAAGAATACAAGTGATGAGAAACGGTTTTCGCAAAGCACTACTGTACCTTAAAAGTAAGATGCTATGGGACAACCCAAATTTTCAAGCATCTCACTAAAGCCTTTTCGTGACCAAGGATTCTCATTCTATTTTTGTTTCTTAAAAAGAAACTGAAATGACCCTATTTGAGCACAAAGACTTTAAATCATCCTCAATTGGTCTCCGGGAACACAAACGTCAAAATTATGGTTTTCAATTTGATGCACCGAGTAGTTACAAAAGCGTGTGACATGATATCCAGAGGTCAGGGCATTGCCTTTCCCGAGCGGTCAACAAACGGCATGTTTGCGGTTTGCCCTTTTGCTCCTGTTGCTGACTCACTCGTTCTTAGAGCAGTTAGTTCGTCCTTGCTTTCGTTTTTGCCATAGTTGATGGGTGGGTAACAGTTTAATGGCCTTGCCAAACCTTTAAGGTGGTGCCCGCAAAGGAAGGTTAACTTGACAGGACTTCAGATGCACATGTTTGCCCAGATGAGCAGCACATGTTGGACAGGTGAAGGCTCTGAATATAATGTCATGTTTAGTGTTTTCTTCTTTTTTTTTTTTGTATTTTCTCATATTAGTATTTTTGGTGGAAATCAATCATGTTCAAATACACGCTATAAAAATATTCCAGTATTTCCTTCTAGTTCGCTTTTTTCAAGACCCCCTTCAGCTTCCTTTCTAAAGTATGTTGTTACACCCGTGAGAAACAAAATGAGCATAGAACCGATGCCGCTTTATGCCGCATACCCTCGTGGCTTACTTTCGTTCATTCGTGGCTGCACAGTTCCATGTTACAAACACTATAATTGTTGTTCAGAAATCCTAGTTCAAGATTTCTAATGAACACAATACACTCTTCGAGACCCTCGAAAGAAGCAGATTTTCAGTGTTCGCAGGGAAACTCCTCGAGCTTACAGTTTTGTTGCTCCATCATTACAGAAGGCATACTATGTTAGGCAGGTAAGGATGGTTCACACATCTACATTTGATTGACTGTGTTAAGACTGCTTGCGACTTCTTACACGACTACAGAAAATACTGGCGCCATCTATCAGGGTGCCCTGGAACTGCTCTCCATATATCTATAGTCGGCGTCAACTATTTCGTGCTATGTTATCAAGGCTAGCCAAGCCTCCACAGTGCAACAGCCCCACACTGCTGCAAGAGTCAGTGGTTTCACCCTGCCTCTCATTCGCAAGCGCAAGCCGCACTGACAGCGTTGGAGCACTGGAGAAGCTACGCTAGCCTTAAAGGGTAACTCTGGTCAAACCCAGTAATACCAGCCTAAACCAGTGTTTCTGGGCTGAGAGCAGAGAAGTCAAGAAAACTAATCTTAAAACAAATTAACAGATTTCAAAATTGCACCTGGTGGCGTTCTGTGAAGCTTTGCTGGAATGCCGCCACGCCACGAGTTCCTTAAAAGCAGCACCAGTTCACGGCAGTATGGCTTGCTCGTGGAGTTACTTAGTCCTGAATGTGACTTGGCGGAAAACGCTAACGCGTTTACTGTGGTGTATATGTTAAAGCTTCCACAGTGCTTTCGCAATGAGCATTCTACACCATCAAGATTGCCATTCTTTTCAGACGTTAGGTAGGGGGATCTGACGATGTGGGTACCTCTGCCGAACCAAACATACCACTACCCCACCCCCCAAATGCACTGTGAATAGCGCAATCAAATAAGGCCCCCATAGCTTGATGGTGTCACCATTGCTGGGTACTAACGGTTATTTCTACTTAACGGTTCTCTTGAGCTACTCCTTGTTCGGTGTGAAACTAACACGGTGAACCGAACGCTCGTGGCACATAAAATACCGGTATGGCCACGAACAACGTTATGGGCGAGCAAGGCGTAGAGCCCTCGAATATTACTACTAGGCGAGATTGTCGCGTGTTGCCTAGTAATAATAGTTACGTTGATATAAAATATTTTCAACACATTGTGAGGCAGTAACAAAGGAAAGGAGTTCAATGTTTGAATGCATTTTTCTCCGTTCCACTTTTTGCTGCGAATTTCATATGAAGGAATATTTTGCTCGAAGGTAAAATTATTCTGATATCAAAACCAAGATGTTTCTGAACTGAAATTTACTGGGGAATCGGGCTATCTACTTTATTCTGTTTTACATTAAAGTCCTAATTGAGAAAAAACTATCTTTTCAAACATTGACATACGACAGATATGCATCTCATAGTTTGAGGTAATCACTCTTCCTGAAATATCTAAATTAGAGTTATAAAAACTAGATAGCCCCAAGTCCCACATCCCCCACTTTATACTCAAGCAGTTAAAATGAAGCTTAATAGCTTCATTTGCATATCATAGATTCCTTAACGAAGAGTGACACAACTTCTTATGCAGGTATGTAAAGTTGTCCTAGACAGCTGAAAGTTTGCAAAGTACACCTACATCTGATGTTAAATCTTCCCTGCAAATTTCATTCCGATCACTTGAGTAGTTCAGAAGTTCAACCTCTAGCCAGTGTCTCCCCTTTAACAACATGGCAGAAAATAGTCGACGCCAAAGATAGACCGAAGGGTTTTGTGGTATTTGCGAGATCAAACCTATGCACCATCTACGAAAAACGACCACTTATAACATTGTGATAATTAGTTCAAGCTTATAATGAAAGAATAATGTACAAAAATTAGAAAAGATATGTATGTAGATCGAACAAATTCCAGGGCTATCCGATAGGTGGTGCTAGAACATTCTCTCGTCGTCCTAGTCGCAAGCGGTCCCAGGCAGTTGCGACGCAATCGGTCCCACTTAAACGCACGTGTGCGGCAGGTGTGTGATCCAGCGTTTAGTTTCTGCATTCTAGGTAGGAATGTCAAACTCACCGACAATCGGTTCCAGAATTTCGTGCATGCGCAGGTAGCTGATGGCTAGGCGCATGACGGACGCCTTGTCCAACTGGGACGTCACGCCCTCCGCCAGCGGCAGCTGCTGGGACAGCTCCGAGAAGATCTCCGACTCCTTGCTCCGGCGGCATCTCGCGGCGTCCCGCGACTTCTCTTTGCGTTTTTCAGAGTTTTTGCTGCAAAGAGAAAAGGCAACAGTTTTCGATTTGGATTCAAGAATGCGAAAACACTACTACTGGCTATTTTAAAACCAGATTTGATTTTGGCAATCACTGCCACTGAATTACTTTCCAGCACTAGTAGAATGACGGGCTACTACTATATATACGTCTTCATGGAAAAAAGGTTTCTCAGAATTAACAATCAGTTCTGAGTCAAGCGGTACAGTCCAAACTTTGATGTCTTTTGAAATGCTCTTTTCTAGTAAAAGCAACTGAGGAGTGGAAAAGTTAGTATGGCGACCTTCTTTTTGGTACTTATATACGGAAAAATATATTAAAAAGAAGGGTTGCTTGATTTTTTTAGAGATATTCTAGTTCTCTTAAAATGGTGTTGGTGATGTCTTTGTGGATGTTCTTGTTTAGTCGGGAAATCACCCGAGTGACGACAATTGTATTTGTGGAGATTGAATGCTCTACATTTTCTTGTTTTTTTCTTTTGTTTTATTTTTCGTTTAAAAAAGAAAAGCATTTCTGAGGCAGCCCAGAAGATTCAGAAATAAATCTTACAGTACTATAGTCAGTGCATTAAAACTTGGGTTTGGGCTAGTTGGACAAAAGGTTAAAAGCGCAAAAAAAAATGGGGACAATAAAGATACACACACCTGGAAAAGTGCCTGTCCCGTCATGTGTGTATCTTCATTGTCTTCCTTTTGTTTGCGCTTTTAGCCTTTTATTCACTATAGTCGGTGACAGGTTAGGAGTTGATGGGAAGCTTGTCTAACCTCTTTCCGCTTCAGCAGAGCAAACGCTAGAGAGGAGGCGACCTCTTCTCCGGTATTCGCGCTGCTAAAGTAGAGAGGTGGGAGGAGCTTCCCCTCAACTCTTTAACCTTTCACCAACTACAGTGATGAGCTAATCTCGCTTAATGAAATCAAGAGAGTTGCACTGATCGTGTCACAGTATGCATGCAAAATATATGTTGTTCCAGAAATGGGCAACGGCATGTCTGTACTGCTAAACACTGAAAGCTCACTCACATCGAGTGTTGCCACCGAAAGGATAAGAACGGCAGTATGTCTTTCAGATGCCCGGCATTCAGCACGCATTCATTGCCTTTTGTTTTGCTTTGACTGATGATGCACGCTCAAAGCTCACAAGTTGCTAAAGTGTCATCGAAGGTAGGAAGCTCGTGTTGTGGAAGGGACAACCGAAATACCTACATTTCCTAGAAAGTAGAAAACTGGAGTGTGCTTTTAAGCGAGTACTTGTGTGCTTTTAAGTGAGTACTGAAAAGTCAGCCAACAAAAATGAAGAGTATAATTGCTAACCACTGGGAGGTTTTATCCACCATATGCCAACACAAAACTTTCTATTGACATAACAGGACACTTAAATCACAGCACAGAAGTTGCGGTTACATCTAGCAAATGACGAGGTTAGCATAAACATTGAAGTTGAAAGGAAGGAGACTCCATTTAACAATTGCCAGTATCACTATAATATCTAAACACTTGTAATTCATAGACGATGGCAGCGCTTCTCAAGGCCAATATTACCCCATCAAATACTGTGAACTTTTATCAAATCACTTAGTTTTCATCACGGCTAATTTAGTGAAACTATGATAAGAACATCTCTGTTGGAAAGTTCCACAAGGCACAGCAAAGTGCAGCCTCTAACAGTTCAACGAACACTGGTAAAACCGGTCCTTACGCTCAACTCCTGGGCTAGTTAACCAGAAAAAAGCTGCCCCGCAGACACGAGATAGCAAGTGTATAATTACTATGTACTCAGACGCGACCCAACCTAAACTAGCCCGACTCACTTAACCAAAACACAGACCCTCAATCATCCCAGGACAATTAACAAGCAAACAAAACATGCCGGCACCGCTAACACGCTCAGATAGAACTGGAGCAACGGAGGAGAAGGTATAACAGAAAACATCACTTCACACCTCCAACACGCCACTTTTTCAAATTGTTCCACATAGATATGAATTGGCAGGGCAGATTACGCGTTTCCAAACAACTAATACTTGAAACGGGGAAACAGAACAGCAGGTCGCACAAAGGTCCCGGGCTGCAGTGCTAAGTGGGTCGGACGCCGGAGGGATCGTTTAAAGCTTGACAGCAAATATACCTTGTAAACAAAAAAGGGGGCAGCACTGCAAAAACCAGTTGGGATATCTCTCCCCGCACTGCTTAAAGCTGCCATGATAAACGAGCGCCGCGTGGTGTGAGGCAGTCTTCTTACCTCAAGAGCATTCAGGCAATAACGGCTATCTCTGCCCCCTCTTCTGCTGCTCATAAGCCGCATAGGACAGGTTGATATCGTGTGTCTTTTCAATGTATGCTCCAGCTATGTCAATCTAATGCGGAGTCGGAGATAGCCGGTTCGTTCCAGATGCCTGATCGAGCGTTGACCGCCATCCGTATGCGAGGGCTGCATCGTTTATTCCTGCGACGTGATATGATCTCGCATTTCCGGCGTTTGCGGTTAATCAGATGCATTGCAATTATGGCTGGGTGTCGAACGAAACGTTTAAAGTGAGACATTAATTGGCTGCTTTTCGTTAATTTATTGCTCTGTTAATCAGCTTCCTTGTAATAAAATGTGCACCCTTTGCCAGATGGATGGGCTTGCAAAACATGTTTTTTTTTGTTGCTTTCGAAGCAAATTTATTGGGAGCAAAGTATTATAGAATAAATGCACAATATCAAAGTTGTGCATATGGTTATCATAAGAAAAGCTGTGCCGTACAAAATGTTATCATTTCCTGTTGACAGCATTTGCACTAAATCCTTAAAGTTCACGCGCCTAGCAACTGCAGTCGAGCAACCAGATAAGAAGTAGCATTAGCAATCAAAACGCTTTCAAGCTAATCAGCAGGCTGGACCATCAATGCTCCCAAAAGTGGTTACCCGTGCTGAGTCTCGGCAAAGAGTTAGCGCGTTTCATGCTTAACATTAGTTTAAGAAACCAACATTATCGCGTGAGTACATGCTGAAAGTATCTAACAACGGCTCACAATGAAAGTTCAACTAGACACCAAATGTAGTATCTTTGAGCCTCCATGCATTCACACCCTCAAACTTTAGAGAAATGATCCAAGCAGCACAAAGTAGAAAAACCAGTGTGCTAGGCACATATGCAAACTTCATAGGCACGGACAGCCAATAACAAAGATATAGTAGCAACTTTAATCTGGGCAGCAATATTTCTTATCGGGGCAGGTGGTGTGATTCCCTTCGATTGCACCTTTTTTACAAGCCAGATCAGCTAACTTGCTCCTGTGTCTGCTTACGGGCAATGAAGCAAAAGTGATAACAATTTGCTCAATCAGAGATAGTTCTTGAACAAGGGCTTCATAATGAAGCTGGCTATATCACTCAATGGCCTTTGGATTCCGCTTCATGCTCCACCTTTTCAAATTTGCTTTGCGGTGCCTCAAGCTCCACTGTTATTGGAAGCCACCACTAGCTAGGCCATCAAGTTTCTTAGTGAAGCCTACTCAACAAAGACAGTAAGATGGATCGATGTAAGCTTGAGCCACGTTTTAGATCTTGGAGAATAGAAAGCTTCCCATAATTAATTGAAAAGATAGAAACAAAATAAAAATGGTGTTAACAAAATTTTAAAATAAAATGTAGTTAGATATTTTTTTTCTAGGTACTGCTCGGCAGTCTTGCATATAAAAAAAGCTTTCTGTGCAGTGAAACAAAGAATTTTTCAGAAAAGTATACAAAAGCTATTTGACAATATTAGGTCTTGAATGGGCCATTATCCCTTTGCCTCTCTTGACTGAAAATTGTATAGTCTTCCAGTCAGATTTATAATGTCAAATAAAGTGTGTTCGAACATAATCCTCTAAAAAATTGGCACATCCTGTTCACGTGATTAAACTTACCGTAAAATACCGCGGAAGCGCCCGCTATTAACATTTCCCAAACTTGAGAATTCCATGAAGTATACGCCAAGCACCCGATTTGACCAAAGAAGCAGCCAGGTCTCGATTTACCCAGTTTTCATGAAAGTGGGGTAGGCACTCCCCCGGTATTTCGCGTTATTGCCTTTTTTGCGTCGCATTGCTCGCCATTTATTCTAGCTACTTTTAAGAATTAAAACTTACACAAAACTCCGTGCCTGAAATTTCACATCCCTTAATGAAGCCATAAGTCAGCATAACAGACATACCAATATTCCTGCACCAATACGTCAGGTTGCACAATCCAAAGCCCAAATTCCTAACCAATGCACAAAACAAGCAATTCAGCGTATTCTTCGACTCGTCGCGGCCGTTAAACTTAAAATTCTGCCCGAATCGCAAAGCCAACCCGATCCAGCTTCACCCGAGCAAATCGTCCGGTCAAGGTCGTCCTACCCAGTCATTTCACGGCCTTTACGTAAGCATGCAAGGCCAAAGAAATCATCGGTCAGAATTCCCGCTATTGGAGACAGCCAAGCAACCTGGCGAATGCCTCCTGGAAGCGTCGGCTGAATTACACTTCTCGAAAAAGAATACCCCTTAGACCCCCTGCGGAGCTCCAGCACAAATTATACTTCATCAACAGTATGCCTCGGGAATCCAGTCCCTAGTATGTATTAACACCACAATTAAACGCAGCCATTTGGAGATGCAGAGATGTCTCCGCCGAATGGCAAGTTGGCACGAAAGCCGACCGGATCCGTACGGATCCAGGCTTAGTTAAAAAATCGCGAGTGGATTACAAACCACAAGGAGGGTAAAAAAATATAAAAAGTGATATTCCAGGCACGCGTTTCTCGAACTTAATCGAAGCACGTCTAGGTGGCCGGTCACGGCAGGGTGTCCTTGTTTTTCCTGGGCTCTGGTGCGACTGCTGCGACTTAATCGGCAATTCAAGAACGCCGGCGTCGCAGGTTGGGGGGTGCAATCAGCAGAAAAACAAAAACCTTGGTGGAGAGAAGGAAAGGGAGGCCCCTCCTAAGGGGCTGAGGGGAGAGGGGGAGATTAAAGAAATGGCGTAATGAAA